CAAGGTGAGTCAGCAGTCTTTGTCTGCAAAGAACAAAACGACTTGCGGAGTGCTGAAGTCTGGCCATGCCCGACTTGATCAGCCATGAGACTCTGCCAACTAGTACTGTCACCTAAGAATAAAAGCTCCAGCTGAAGGATGTGAACATGCCATAAGGTTGGGACCCACCTGAGCGCACCTTTCCACTCTGCCGACTGTTCAATGCACTGCGGCTCTCCCATTCCACAGAAACATGAACTTCCCCCCTCAGTCCTGCTCTGATTTCGAGGCATTAGCCTCATGCCCCCAAGCCCAACAAAAACATGTGGAGAAAAGAGCCTTCCGTGCCCAGGTTGGCCAGGTCTGCCCAGAACCTCTAGCATCCCGGCATCGCCAACACCCTCTCATGTGCGTAGGATAAACTTGGGGTTTGCCCGGATTTTGAATTGGACTGCGAGTCCGCTAGGTTTGGGCCCACATGGGATGAAACCCCAGACAAAAAACTCCATCACCAAAACCGAAACCGATAGAATTGTTGATGTCGTCTCAAAAGGGGGGCTCTCGGGGTTCAGTTTCCCAGCCGACGGCCAAATGAGAAGGCCGTGCATTTGCTGTGCAATAGCCGCGGCTCACACGCTCAGCACATGACTCAGCACATGATGTGTCAATTCCTCCCACACGTCTCCTCCGTCCGCCCAGGCAGGCTGGGCTCCGGCTCCGGCCGCCGCGGGCCTGCGCCAGACCAGCCCAGGGGGTGGCTGCTGCTATCGCCTCGGCATCGAGCCACCAACCCAGGCAAAGGCATCGGCTGTAGTTGCTCTTACATCGCCCCTTTGCAAACTAACCTGAGACGAGCAAAGGGATGCCTCGGAAATTCAGGGATGGGCCGTGGTCCCAATGGTCCCTCGCCCCTCATATGCATCGATTGTCACCAATTGACTGCGTTTGCACTTCACGCTCAATTGCTTGCAAAGGTGGCACACTTGGATCATGAGTCGTGCGCCATTTGCTGTTCAAGGGCGACACGTGTGAGGTGGGCAACTACGCATTTGAAGTGTGAACATATGTGCCACAAACTCGGGTCCTATAGGGCAGTTGGTCATTTAATCATGCTTGCGTGCATCTGGAGAAAGAAGACTCCCAGGTTCAAAAAACCTGCCTTGCCAATTGATTGCAAACGCGCAATATTGCTGCAAGCGAGTGAGTCTGATGTTTCCAATGCAAGGTTCAAGCTCGTGATACGAGAACTAGTTGCCCGCGGTCGCCGCTAGTCGCCTGGTGGCCTTTTGTCGGCATGGAGTAACATCGTTGGGTGTTTGCTGATTTTGCTCGAAGCATTCATGCGCCAAGGCGCAAAGCCACTTATTGGCTGGGTCAATGCGGCAACAAATTCGCCACTGCTCCCAACAAAGCGGTAGGTGAAGCAGCTTCTAAACTTCTCCACCACACGAATTGGTAACTTCTTTGCTTTAAGCGCACACTTGCATTCCATGAATTGTCACACCGGCATTTGCGCAAAGCTGGAACGTCAAACAACGGGATTGCAATTCCCTGTCAAAGGCTTGAGTTCCACAAACCTTTGGCAGCTTTACGGTAGCTGGCCGTCAGCCACTGCAGTCTGCACGGAACTAGTTGTCAACAGTTGCGCTGGTCGCCAGGTCGTAAGCAATGTTTGTGTCAAAGGGTCAAACCAGAACCCAATTGCGGTCGGGAGTGTCGGGGATGGGAGTGTGTGGGGTTGGGGGGGGTGCGTGATGGTGTGTTCTGCCCTTGTGCTTTGGCTCTGTAGGCGAATCCACAGATAGCGGTGTCGCTTTCTTACACAATTTGCTGTCCTCGGGCACTAGTTACATTTTGCGTGCTTGCAACCTGTCTGGACCCTGCAGATAGGCAAGACTGTGTGTGTGTGCGTGTGCGCGTGTGTTGTGTGTGTGCGTGTGAGTGATGCGTGTTGTGTCTTGAGTGTTGCGTGTTGTGTGCTGTGTTGTGTGTGCGTGTAGGTGTGTCTGTGTGTGTTTGTGTTGTGTGTTGTGTGTTGTGTGGTGTGTGTGTGTGCGCTGTCTCGCGCGCGTGTGTGCGTGTGTGTGCTGTCTCGCGTGTGTGGTGCGTTGTGTGGTGCGTGAGTGTGTGTGTGTGTGTGGTGTGAGTGTGTGGTGTATGTTTTTGGGTGTGTGGCGCGTGTGTCTGTGGATGTCTGTGGTGTATGTGGTGTATGTGGTGTGTATGCTGTGTGTATGTGTGCGTGGTGTGTGTGTGTGTGGTGTGGGTGTGTGTGTGTGTGTGATTGAAAGTGTGTGTGTGTGTGCGTGTCTGTGCTTGTTTGTGTTTGTCTCTCTGTGTGCGTGAGTGTCGGCGGGTGTGTGTGTGTGTGTGCTTGTTTCTATATTTGTGTGTGTCTGAAATTTATGTTTGTGTGTGTGATTGTTTTGTTGTGTTTGTTTGCGTGCCTGCGCGTGCTCGTGCGCGTGCGCATGTTGCGTGTGCGTGTGCGAGTGCCAGTGCGCGTTTCCTTGCTCGTGCGCGTTCGCGTTCGCGTTCGCGTTCGCGCTCGCGCTCGCGTGCGCGTTCGCGTGCGCGTGCGCGTGCGTGCGTGCGTGCGTGCGTGCGTGGGTGGGTGGGTGGGTGGGTAGGTGGGTGGGTGGATAAATAATTGTGTGTGTGTGTGTGTGTGTCCGTGTGCGTGTGCGTGCGCGTGTGCGTGAGCGTGTGCGCGCGCGTGCGTGCCTGCATGCGTACGTGCATGCGTGTGTGTGTGTGTGTGTGTGTGGGTGGGTGGGTGCGTGGGTGGGTGGGTGTGCGTGTGTGGGTGTGTCTGCGTGTTTGTATTCGTGTGTGTCTGTGCGTTTGCACGCGCTTGCTTGTGTCTGCGTGCGCGCGCGTCTGTGTTTTCTTTGTGTGTGTGTGTGTGTTTGTATGTTGGTGTGTGTGTTTGTATGTTGGTGTGTGTGTGTGTGTTTGTGTCTGTGTGTGTGATTGTTTGTCTGTGTGTGTGTGTTTGCGTGTTTGTGTGTGTGTGTGTCTGTGTTTGTGTATTTGTGCCGGCGTCTGTATTTGCGTGTGTCTGTGTCACTCAGTGTGTGGGTGTGTGTGTGTGTGGTGGTATGTTTGTTTGCCTGCCTGTGCGTGTGTGTGTGTGTGTGTTCGTGTGTTTGTTTGCTTGTATTGTGTGTGTGTGTGTGTTTTACGTGTGTGTGTGTGTGTGCGCGTGTCTGTGTTTGTTTGTGTGTGTGTGTTTGTGCTTTGTTTGTGTTTGTGTGTTCGTGCGTGTGTGTGGGTGTGTGTGTGTGTGTGACTGTGCGTCAGGGTGTGTCTCCGTATTTGTGTGCTTGTGCGTGTGGGTGTTGGTGCGCTTGTTTGTTTGTTTGCTTGTTGGTTTGGTTTGGTTTGGTTTGGTTTGGTTTGGCTTGGTTTGTTTGTTTGTTCGGTTGGGTTTGGTTTGGTTTGGTTTGGTTTTGTTTGGCTTGGCTTGTTTGTTTGTTTGGTTTGGTTTGGTTTGTTTGGTTTGGTTTGGTTTGGTTTGGATTGGTTTGGATTGTTTGTTTGGTTTGGTTTGGTTTGGTTTGGTTTGGTTTGGTTTGGTTTGGTTTGGTTTGGTTTGGTTTGGTTGTTTGTGTGTTTGTGTGATTGTTTGTTTCTGTTGTTTGTTTGTTTGTTTGTCCGTTTGTTTGTTTGCTTGCTTTTGGTTGTTTGTTTGTTTGTTTGTTTGTTTGTTTGTTTGTTTGTTTGTTTGTTTGGTGTTGGTGTTGGTGTTTGTGTTCGTGTTTGTCTATGTGTGTGTGTGTGTGTTTGTGTGCTTGTGGTTGTCTGTGTGCTTGTGTGTGTGTGTGTGTTTGTTTGTGTTTGCGCTTGTGTGTGTGATTATTGTCAACTATCAGGCATCATGGGACAACGCAGCAACACTTGCTTTTGCCCCCATCCCCAGATGCGCCATGAAGCCGGCTTTTGCAAAAAATGGCCATCATTATCTTCACTGGAATCCCCATCGATTGTCCAACATCCCAAGGGTCCATGACCATCCTGAACCGCAGCCAATACCCAGGTCCGACCGTGGCAACCACTGAATCGCCGCAAGGCCGCCGAAGCCGGGATTCATCATGGTGGGGTTGACTCCTCGGGGGCCCTTCGGCACATCCTCCTCGCTGTCAGCCTCCGCAAGAAGCGACCCGTCAAGCGCATCTTCTCATTGGGAGCTTTGCATGTGGTCGGTTTCACTGTGGACATGCTCTCTGATGTCATCACGCAGCAAACAATCCGTGGGTCTGACAAGCCATAGCCTACAACCACTCGCAGTATGCAAAGCGTTGAGCACGACGCTGGAGCTCGCAGTGGCACCGAGCATCTGGCCTCCTGCTGTGGGCGCCGGCAGGGGCGCGGAGCCATGGCTCAAACAAACGCCATGGAGGTGGCGCTGAAGTTCGGCGAGTCGAGAGGGGTCTCGCCTTCGGCCGGTTCTCAGGCTGTGTTGACTGGCTTTGGGCAAGAAACGGGTCACTCTGTGCATGTTGCACGCATCAATAATTTGGTGCAAGGGAAAACAATCCAAATTGCGCTCTCTTGCACACGTGCCAAACACCGACTCAGGTTGCGCCAATGTGGCAGCGCTCGCCCTCTGGTTTTGACACCATCTGCACCAAATATAGTTTATTACTGTACACATGTGGATATGTGCCCAAATGTGCCCAAGAGATCAAGTGTGTTGTGGCTCTGCATTCTTCGCGTTCATTGCCATAGATCGTGCTCTCTCTTGCTGGAATCTTTGGCTGTCGCGGGATTGATATCTTCGTTGACTGGCTCTGTGCACTAATTTAAGCTGCCGGCCGGCGAAATCAAGCTCCAACTTCCCCAATGGCAATTTACCTGCTTGACAGCTCTTGAGTCTGTAGCCTTCGTGGCACAAAGACAAACCTATACTTTGAAGGGAAACAAAGAGAACAAAGTTCGTCCCTTATATTCCCTTCTGCGAAGACGCCATCCGTGAATAACACACACACAGAGGCTCAGTGGATAGAATTGTGGCAGTCCTGGATAAGTGAGGACCGCACCACCACCACCTCCGGGGCTGCGCGGCATAGCGCCTGCGGCTCTGCGGCTGGCCAAGTGGTTCGTGCCGGTGAGGCGAGGGTCTGCCATATTCAAACACCTCACCACGTCAGCAGTCAGCAGTGGAGTAGGTTGGTGAATCATGGGATTCAAGCATAGGACCCTGAAATTCTGCATAAGAGGATCAAAGAACGTCAGAAGTGCTGCGCAGGTTCGCAAGCACTTCTAACACATCTTCTCTTGGGCTGGTTGCTCTGGAAGTTTGGCCGTGCACCCCCCCCCCCCACCCTGGCGTAGCTTAAAGACCTGGACTCATCAAGCGTGGGAGCTTGTGCTCCCCCGTTCCAGCTGACCCGGGGTGATCCTCAAACATGGAACCCACTTCGTGTCAGGAGCCAACCTCCCAAGTCTCGATGCGACAAATGACTTCCCTACTTGTTCGAAAAGGCCGTATGCAGCAAAAGCCCCGAACAAAATTCATAAGCGATGCCCGTTGACGCCTCCTCCACTGTCTCATCGTTGCCTGCACGAAGGAGAAAGCAGTGAGGAACGGCTTTGGGGTTAGTTAGCGAGAAGGGAGGGGGGTGACACCAAAGTGAAGTGGAACAAGTGTCTGGAAGTCCAAGCCAGTTCGATGGTGGGTGGGGCTTTTAAATGAACACGCCGACTCTGTGTACGCCTGAACTTTGAGAGATCCATGAATCACTGCAATGGCAGCTTGGGTTTGGAGGAACTTCAACGGGTTGTGCTGTCCTTCAAGCAAACATAGCAAACAAACTCCAAAGGAGCCATGCTCAGGATGCGAGATTTCGGTCTTGAAGAGGCCAGAAGTGACCCATTGCCCTGCTTTGAGCAGCCGGGCATCGCAGTTCCCATCTTTCTAACCTTCCTAGCCCCTCCGGCCAAATGTTCCGCGCCACCCCAAAGATTCTTTGCGGCCTAACAGGTCCGCAAACCTTTCGCCCGATCCCGAGACTCCTCGCTGCTCGGTTTGGCAGCCCAGGCCCTGCAATTCTTGAATCAGCTGGGGCCTCGCGATCCATCGGCAAAATGGGTACCCCCTTAAAATGATTTGGCAACCCAAAAAAAAGGATGGTGTCTCAACATCATGGGCCTCTGCCACAAAAGTGTTGGACGGAATCCTCTTACAGCCAAAGGGCAAAAGGCAAAAGGCAAGCCCCTACATTCACACAGACACTGATCTGCCGATGTCTTATCTACATGCCACGTGAGTTCTACATGATACGTCCATCGTACCATGGGCTTGTGCCATGATGAACCAGCTCAACAAATAATAAATAGAGCGAGGAAAGCTTGCTGAACGCCAGGCGTTTCTGCATCACACATCCACGGCAATTTGTTGACATTGCAATTTACGTATCATGCCTTTGTCTCGAGTCACAATAGTATCGAAGTCTTATCCTTGGACATATTTCAAGACTAGGGGTCCCTTTGGCGAACATGAAAGAAATGGCCTGAAGGGTCGCTCATTTTGACAGACTGCTATTTATCAGCAGAAGTTAGCCGCCTTGATTGCTTGACGGAAAGATGCGGCGCAAGCAGCACTCGAATCAGCCATGTGATCTGCGTGGCTTCACAGGGACAATGTCAAGAAATCCGCAACTCCCTCCAGACGGCCGCGCCTGCAAGGATCCAGAAGTAGCAGGGGGCAGCCCTCGGAGTTGCTCTCAATCCGACCCTTGGACTCATGTCTGACTGTCTGAGATAGCAGAAGGAAATTCTGAAGAAGGACATGAAGCCCCAAATGACGTCCATCAAAGGGTCTACTGAAACTCACACCCAGATCATGCGGACGCTAAGCCGACTGCGGCCAATGGGATTTGGGGACCCCAGCCCTGCCGGCATTTCGCGCAGCGCCTCTGCCGCTGCCTCGGTGCTATCTTTCCTTCCTTGCTCAACATGCTGCTTCAAACGAAGCTGGAATCGCATGGGGCCACATCCGGGCATTTTGGCAACCTAGAGCCAAGCATGTGTGTCTGCAGAGGAATCTCAAGTCCGTTCATGTATCCGCTTCCCCAAGCCGCTGCATTTTCCGCGAAAAATGAGACTTCGACGCTTGCCGCAATCAAACGACACTCTCCGAAGACCTGTGAGCCTCACTTTTGCCACTCCACTCCGAACAAACAGCTATTGGACACTGACCTCTGCCAAGACTGGACATGCCTTTAGAAGGTCGTCGGCAAGGTTTGGCCTTTTCCACGCGCTTCTCTCAGGGCGGTGGCAGCGTCAGGTCGCTGATTTGGCACCTCTGATCTCCGCCAACACCTGATATGCGCCAAGGTAGGCTCCTTGCTTGGTGTGGTTTATGCTGTCTCTGAGGTGGTGCGATGTTCAGATACCGTGCCTGCTTGTGTGCAAGCTCCGTGATGCTCCGTTATATGAAGAATCGCTAGTCGATGCATGCAGATTCATATTGCTAGAACATAAGCTGATTGCTGCATGTATCTCCGCAAGTGGTTTCAATAAATAAAAAAAATAACACACGAGAGTATCGCTTGTTCAGTCAATAAAGCGGCACTGGGCGAGCAAGGACGGCGTGCCTCGTCCATGTTCATCACCTCAACTTCCGGCGCAGCATCACTCGGCGAGCCAGGATCGCCCCCTTCGAGGAGGGAGTCCCACCTACAAAGCGGCATGGGCGTGGTGAGGCATGCTTCCAGTCAAAAATGGTCAGCGAGGCAACAAAGCGGCCCGCAGCTTGGCAGTTGATGACATATACTTACTACTTGTTACGGGCATCGTGTGTGTGCCATGCATGCAACTGAAAGCTTTCATGCATCAAGTGTCAAAGTGGAAAAACACCTACAACCTATGTCCTATGTTCAAGTTGCAAAATCTATCAATCTACTAAGCTTACTTGCCTGCCTGAACTGCATCAATGTTTAGCTGCACTGACCAAGCTGACCAAGCCCGACACCTGCGGCTCGAGTCCAGCTTGCCCAAGGTGATGAGAAGAAACGCCTCTTCGAGGCGAATTGGCATCATACGCTCAGCGTTTTATTCATATTTATTAATAATTCACAGAAGATGAGAGGAGTCAATCGTGATTTTGGGTCATTGAATGCAGAACACAAGCCACTACGATTCTGTCACAAGCCCGGGTCAAGCGTCAACTTCAGGCTGAGATCACAGAGTGGTACTGGACTCCCTCCATCTGTCCATCCAAATGGTCAAGCTGGGTACACCTTCCAGTTCAACAACAACGGCAGCTGCCTGTAATCTGAGCTACCTACCTCCACCGGCCTCAATCGACTGCCATCAGCAAGCAAGCGAACATCCCTTGATGAGACACGTGAGCTTAGATGCTTGTTCTGGTACCAAACGCGAATCGCTTGGCTCATCCACTTTCCCCGCACTTTGAAGGAATATGCGTGGCATCTGCTTCGAACTCTGCAAAGCCGAAGCCTGTAAAGCCCTGCAGTCTTAGTGGCCAACAGCGATACTGACACAAAAGCTGGCCGAGTCCATCTGACGTGGATTTAGTCGTTGGTTATATCCACCCATGCTGGATATAATGCATCAGCTTAACTCACTAGGGATTTGGTTCGTTGACGGATGAGTGGCTAGAGGCTCAGACGTTGCGCACCTCACACCAACATGCTTGCCGGGTTCAAACAACCTCCAAAACACTCGTGCACAAATACATGACAGCGACCCAGATAGCGCGTTAGTTGCAAAGGAGACTGGTAAAACGTGCGGATTGAACAGTGCATGACAGGTGTACGCGAGTTCGCCTTGAGAACAGCCTTCGAATTTCACAAAACTGCAGACATGCCATATCTCTAAGAAATGCTACCCCAGGAAGACAACCGTCCGCTCTTGCGGTTGTTCCCCCCGTGTGGTCTCAACACTCATGCACATGGGAGACCATGCCCACTTGGCAAACCCTAAAAAAAGTTCAAGCAGGGCCTTCTTCCCACGCTTCTCGAGGTCCCAAAAGCTGTCGTCGGTCAAAACGGGCGCGAAGAGCGTGCCTGTCCCCCCAGGTTTGGGGCCAGGACCTCTAGACATGATGTCCGAACCGTCCCTGCCAAAACTCTCCTTATCTCAAGTCTTGACCCTTGCAACGTGATGGCCTTCCCGCTCGGAAGTGCTCAAATCCTAAATAAAAAAAAATATGCTATCAAATGGCAATAGCAACAGAGCGAGAGACAGGAAAACAAAACGAAGTGAAGAAAGAGACACAACTGCCATTGTCTGCGGTTTGCACATCTACACTTATCCAAGGTGATATTTCCCAGGTACATTCTAGTAGGTCTACATGTACTCACTCTTACAACTCTTCGGATTTACAGCTCCGTTATTTGATCCAAAAATATGCTGCGTCTCCAGCTGCTTCCGTCCAGCAACAAGCTGGGTGAGAAAAATGATCGATCCATGCAATCTTCGGAAAACCAGAGGCCAAAAACACCCACCCGCCCGCCCGCCCGCCCGGCCGCCCGCCCGCCCGCCCGGCCGCCCGCCCGCCCCACCCCCCCCCACGCACTCACGTCTGCACCCGACATCTACAAACGCCAAAGGCAAAGAGAAACCTCCTTGTTGCTACAGACTGGCGCGCGCCTTCCACGATCACCTCATCGCCGATGCGGCACTTCACGCTGGTGCTGGTGATCTTGGCGATGAGAGCGCGCCGGGCATCTTACTCTCCCAAAAGGGGACTCTAAAAACAGTGGCTTTTTGGGACCCATGTTGTGTGGGAGTCTAGCTGAATCTGGGTTGGACGCTTCAAAAGAAGGCCTTGGATACTCTTGTGGCCAAAGGAAAGTTCCCAGGTTCCAAAGTGTCCAACCCCCACAGCTGACATAAGCTGTGGAGCATCCGAGTCCGAGAACGGAAGCTGGGACCTGTCAGGGCCTTCCGCCCACTATGTCAAACGCATCCCGTACTCAATCTGTGCGATTCGCCGGCTGATCCATGCTTGCACAACTTCGCTTGGTGGTTCAGTGTCCTCGTTTCCATCAGCACAAAGCTGGCACAAAAAAGGCAAACAGCCAAAAGCAGCAGCAACACACCGTGACATCAGTACGCTGTGGCTATGTTCTTCTTGGCTGAATCGCCGTCCCAAATGCGACATGCTCACGAAATCGAACACTGCAACTGTGAAATCTGATTCCAGTGGCCTCGCAGCAACCAGCCCACCCTGGCAAAAGGGAACGATCTCCTGCCTGCAGGGAACCATAGGAAACCCTTTGTACCCAGCCCTTCAATCCTGACCGCATGTATTTCAAGCCCATGGAGCAAGGTCCAGGACTGGCACGCGGCACGACTGAGTCTGCCCGATTGAGAGCAAAAACATGTAGCAAAACTTGGGCAAGGCGCATCGACGTTGATGGACTTTACCCTGACATCGTCGGCCAAAGGAACTCCTTGGCAGCTGATCAAGCCTATCAGGCTGACCAGCTTCGAACTTAGAACTCGTGAAGAAACATTCACAAGGCCAAAAGCCCCGTGAATTGCACACCGCCCGCTCTGTACGCCACGCCTCTCATCCGATCCACTTCTGTGCCAAAGGTTCGAACCCGCTGTCCAGCATGGCCCATGGTTGAGACAAGAAACAACTTTCTGCGATACCAAATTGGGAGTGTTGTCCCCAACACCTGAGGGGACCCCCTTGCGGAAACATTGCTCCTTGCAGAAACAGCTACCAGTATCAGCCACTAAAAATTGTGTCACGCATTGTTCTTCGATCAATCAACTTCTTAAGGGACCCCCTGTCAGGTGGGGATGGTATATACACGTATTATGCAAATATATATATATATATATATGTATATACATGTATATTTGTGCATATACATATATGTATATATATACATACATATATATATATATACAGGTATCATGTATGGGTCCCCAAATCTTTCCGTGCGGCGCACCAGAACCTCCCGGCCGCTGCCGGAGGCTTCCCAGGTAAATCCCTGGCAGCGGCCCCGCTCCCGCAGCTCCAGCTCGTCCTACGAGTCCCAACGAATTCTAACCAACGGCTTCTAACCAGTGGGTTTTAACCAACGGCTAACCAGTGGGTTCTAACCAATGGGCTTTAACCAATGGGTGTAAGCAACGGCTTCTAACCAGTGGGTTTTCACCAAGTTGCGTACATGGAAATGTTGACTCGACCGATGTTTGGCCACACTAAGGGGCGGTGCATTTGGACAGGGAGCAAACAGAATGCGGTTCCCCGAATCCGCGCGGTTGTGATGACGGGTAACCGGGTAAGGAATTGTTATAAGATTCAAGTAAGCATACGCTACTGAGCGCTACTGTCTGTAGCGCGGTGGTGACTGCATGACAAGGCCGAGCCTTTATTTGGCACAAGTACATCACATTAGAGAGTGCGCCAGAACAACCGAGGTTTTCTTTCCTTCTACGTTAAATCGAGCTAACTGCTGCCATTTCTGCATGCCAGCCACGTGGTGGAGTCTGCAATGAAACTTGTTCTCTACCTGAGAAATCATACTCAGTCATTGAATGAGATTGGTGAGAGGAACAACAAGGCTCTGGCATGTAGGAACCAGCATCAGTCCTTGTCCCAGAAGTTTTCTTCCTCCTCCTCCTCCTCTTCCTCGTCTTCGACAACATCGACCACATCAGCCTCAGAGGTTGACGTGCAGTCTAGAAATGCTGGCGTGTTGTAATGAACTCAAACACTGGCGCCAACACCAAACCACAGCAAAGCACCGAACCGAGCTCGAATAAAGCAAGCAAGCAAGCAAGCAAGCAAGAAAGCAAGAAAGCAAGAAAGCAAGGAAACAAGAAAGCAAAAACGCCAAGCAAGCAGCAAGCAAGCAAGCAAGCAAGCAAGCAAGCAAGCAAGCAAGCAAGCAAGCAAGCAAGCAAGCAAGCAAGCAAGCAAGCAAGCAAGCAAGCAA